TATATGAGTTATAATTCATATGTATTATTATTACTATTGTTATTATATATAATGCCAGCTAATGAGTGGCACACTATGCATTTATTATGCTATCTACTGGTAAGTTGCTGTTGTGCCCATCAAAAGGAAATTATCCCACTTTTCAAGATATTTGAAAACAATTAAAAAAATCTTCCTTTGTTTAACATCAGATGCAGTAAATTATCTTGGTTTTAAGAGAGTCAATGGTTAGTGTTCTATTTGAGAAGATACGTAGTATGCATGGTGGATTCACAGGTATAAATAAAGAAAAAGCAAACGAGAGTTTATGATGGTGTTGTTTTTCATTTAGGATTCCTGGAGTATTTATCCAAAAAAACATAAAATGGTAAGGTGCTCATGACACTATAGCATTCACCTTAAGTAATAATGCTATAGACCTAGAGTGACAATCTTTTAAGGATGTCACCTATATTGATAACACCATTTTGATATTATCAAAATAGCATTAGCTTACAAGCTAACTTTACCTAGCATATACTGAGCTTCTGTGTTAAAACTCAACCACACACCTTGGGCTCATGTAAATCATGTGTAGTGCGTCATTGTTCCCTCACAACTTTATTGATAGGAATTTAGACGAGTGCTTGATACAGAAAGTATACATGTGATTCATAGTCACTCAAAAATCAATTCTGTATTGAGGGAACAGCTTTGCCGTTTGGCCTTCTAGAGTCATTCCTTTATTTGCAGTTTTCTTTAAGATGTTATAATTTGAGCTTTTGTATACATTCCTTTATGGCTATCCTGCCCTGCCCAGCGCCCCCCTCTCCCATTAAAGAAAGAAAAATGCTGATTTTTTTTTTTTTTTTTTACTTTTTCTAAGCTGGTAGTTTTTGATATTATTAATTTAACTTAAGAAATCATTAAATACTTTGAAGTAATTTATAACTTTTCCTTTTATGGTTAGCAAAATTTACTAACAATGGAACAGATTCTGTCTGTGGAAGAAACTCAGATTAAAGACAAAAAATGCATTTTGTTGAGGATAAAAGGAGGGAAACAGTTTGTCTTGCAATGTGAGGTGAGTATTATTTTTTCATAGTTAAAATTTAGAACAATTTTATATATATATATATAAAGATGGTTGCCTGTTTATAAAACATTTTCTTACTCTATGCTTTAGAACTTAGAAACTTAGCATATGCCTTACTGTTAAAGTATACAGCTGAAACTTATTGGATTTCGTTAACCAATATCACTATAAAAAATTAAATTGAAATACAAAGTAAAATAAAAAAGAAACTTCTCAAGAAAGCCCTAAGGTATGAAGTTTTCAGCAAATTAAGTTATTTTTAAAGATGCAAATACTAGAACACATCAGGAGAAGTATGTGAAATAACTCGATTACACTATCTGGCAACTCTGTCCAGTATTTAACAGAGGACTAGGATTTTATTTGTTACATAATTTTCCAGATCTTTCAGCATGTTTAAAGATGAGGTTTGTGTATTTAAATAAAAGTAAGATACAAAAATGACTCCTCAAAGGGGAAATATCATGTTTCTCTCACCTAAGTACTATTGTAGCCCAGATTTAATTCCTGAACACTTTTCTACTGGGGCACTGGGTTGTGTGTGTGTGTGTGTGTGTGTATGTGTGTATGTGTGTGTGTAAAGAGCATAAAGAGCTAACCAGTAGTAGATACAAAACATGGTTTATTTACTTGATTTACTGCATGTGAACATATATTAAATTTGTCAGAACTCCTTATGTATTATTTTACAGACTTGAGTCATTTTGTTTTTCTTTTCCAGTTTTATTGAGAAATAACTGGCATACATCATTGTATAAGGTTAAGGTGTAGTGTATAGTATGATGGTTTGATTTACAGATATCATAAAATGATGACCACATATGTTTAGTTAGCATTCATCATCTCATATAGATAAAATAAGAAGAAAAGAAAAAATTATTCTTGTGATGAGAACTCTTAGAGTCTGCTCTCTTAACTTTTCTGTATATCTTACATCAAAGTTAAATATAGTCACTGTGCTGTACGTCACATCCCTAGTACTTACCTTATAACTGGAAGTTTGCACCTTTTGACCACCTTCTTCCACCTGCCCCTGTCCACACCCCTTACTTCTGGTAACTGCAAATCTGATCTCTTTTTCTATGAATTTGGTGTTTTTGTTTGTTCATTGGTTGGTTAAATTTCACATGTAAGTTATATCATACAGTATTCGTCTTTCTCTGTCTGACTTATTTCACCTTGTATAATGCCTTCAGGGTCCATTTATGTTGTCTCAAATGGTAGGATTTCCTTGTTTTCTGTGGCTCCATGTCTTAGCTATTGTAAATAATGCTGCTATGAACATAGGGTGCATATATTTTTTGAGTTAGTTAGTTTGGATATATTTCCAGAAGTGAAATTGCTGGATCATATTTTTAACTAGTTCTCTTTTTAATGTTTCGAAGACCCTCCATGCTGTTTTCCATAGTGGCTGCACCAGTTTGCAGTCTCACCGAGAGTGCCCAGGGTCCCCTCTTCCTCACACCCACACCCACACCCACACCCACACCCACACCCACACCCACACCCACACCCACATCCAAACCCAAACCCACGCCAGCACTTGTTATCTCATAACCTTTTTGGTGATGGCCATTCTGACAGGCAGGAGGCGGTAGCTCCTTGTGGTTTTAATTTGCATTTTTTTAGTGACTTAGTGATATTGAGCATCATCTTTTTTGTGTACCTTTTGGCCATTTGTGTATCTTCTTTGGAAGAATATAAAAACAATCTTGAGTATAGTGTAGTACCTCCTGATTCTTCTTTTCCTATTGGATATATTCTATTTTTCATGAAATGAGACTACTTGTTCCTTTTTACTTGCCTCATTTTCTATATATCTATTCCTCCTGAAACAAAATAAAGTTTCATACACGTACTTCCCTAAAGTCTCTCTCCTCCTCATTTCTCATTGGTAATTAGTAAAATGCAGATTTAGACCATGGTGATATACCATTTCACACCTATTATAATACCAAGGTGAGCATGTGGAGTAAATAAGATACTTTGTGGAAAAATACATACTCTAGATTCCATTTATATTAGGTTCTTAAAAATGTAAAACTAATATATTTTATCTTAAATATATACATAGTTTTTATATACATATTAAAAAATTTGGGGAAGTGAGAAATACTAAATTTATGAAAGAGTTTATCTTTGGGGAGGGATTCAGGAGAGGTAGCCACTAAGGAGGGGAATACAAACTGTCAAAATATTGATAAAGTATGTTTCTTTAGCTGGGGGGAGGTGGGGTTACAAGTGTTCACTGTAACTCAGCATCTTTTTTATTCTTCTGTTTTTCATAAGAATTTTTGTGTAAAAGAGGAAGAGCCTCCAAATTTGAAAATATCTCAACTTTCTTAATGACTAAATATAAACTCACAATAGATCATTTTCCCAATGATCGTTTTCCTGATAATCATAGGTTCCACCTACAGACTAGTCACAGATTCTAAAGATAATAAAGGCTACAGAGTTTGAAATAAATGAAGCTGTATAACCCAGGGGATGTCAAGGCAAGGCGTAAGCAGATACAAAGGATAATAATGTATGTCTTCAGGAAAAATGTA